GATTCAGGTTCAAGGTTCAGAATCAGATTCAGATAATATAGTAAATAGAATCTGGACCGAGCTTCTCCCTCTATAAATCTCGCTGCGTTTCAAGTCTTCTTCAGCGATTGGTTGATCAGTTGGTTTAGAGGAGAGGGAGGAGCTCGGTGCAAGTGCAGTTCAATCTTACCATATCGGAACACAAGGTAGTCTCTCTGTTATTCGCTGTAGAAATTTGTTTGACAAGTGAAATACTTTTATATATAGTATAGTATTTCTTGCAATATTTTTTTGTGGAAGGCTACACTTTGAATGTGGATTGCACATCAGATTTATAAGGTCGTAATTAATTAACTGGCAATGGCGGGAAATTTAAATTGATACATCATAAAATAAATTTATATGTTGAATACAATCTGGATCACAAATGCTAGCATGCAGCATTGTCTCGATCGTATAAATATACATCTTTTAGAAGCGATGAATTAAATGTAGTGAAAAAATATCCTCACGGCCATGACGATGTATCATCCCGCGGATGTGTTCATAATTATGGTCACGTGACACAACAGTTGCGATTATTTATAGATGCAACTGGTCTATCGGGTTTTGGCAGATGCCCGCGTGACTGCGTGAATGCTTTGTATATATCACATATAACTATATGTAACTATAAATACTGTACAACTGTACTATCACATTTGTGCATAATAGGCGCGACGAACTTTTTTGTGATAGGCGCAAGGGTGTTGCTGGAACATGTGATTCGTCGCATTACAGCGTTCTGACGCAGCAAAACTTCTTTAAAAATAGGACGACACGTTTGCTCCGTGATGAGCTTCCCGTGTCACGAAGGCCTGCGATCAGTTTGACGTGTTAATCCCAAGAGAACGATGCGCAAAGATGCGACTTCGAAATTAAATCCATGACATTTTTTTTCATGACTCGTGATTGACCAACACGAGAATTATGTCGAAGCTTGAGCCACCGAAATTTGTCATAGCTCTTTTCTCCTTCAAAGGGAAGAATAATGATGAAGTATGTGAGCTACTTCTCTCATTTTCTCCTTTCTTGTAGAATATTCTGAATATCATTTTTAGAACAATGTCATAATTTTTAAAAATATATTTATATAATATCTAGAAATATCTATTTTATTTTTCTAGCTGTGCTTCAAGAAGGGAGATGTAATAACCATAACTCAGGTAGATGATGAAGGCTGGTGGGAGGGTACATTGCATGATAAGACTGGTTGGTTTCCTTCAAATTATGTCAAAGAATATAGAATTCCAGGTATAATAATCTTTTATTATTTAAGTTTAAACACATTTGATCCATTTATAATTCTTTCACTTGATATTTTATATATTTTAATATCTTATGACTTTATATATATTTCCTAATGTTAAAAATAATCAAACATTCTATATATTTTAATATAGATGGTGGCCATGCGTCGATTAAGACATCTCCAGAAAGAAATCCACAGGAATCACCTGTGCATCAAAAACTCAATCGTGACATAGTGTTGAAAGATATCGTTGATTCCGAAAGAGTGAACGTAGCTGAATTGCAAGGATTAATGAATAATTTTCTACAACCTCTTGAAACATCGAATATGTAAGTCATATTATATAACATGCAGGGTGAAAAGCAATGCATTACTTGTAATATTGTATATCATTAGTTATTTTATTTTCATTGATAATAGTGTTATTTTTTTTATTATGGTAATGTTACATTTCTTCAATAATAATAATGAATTTGACAATTTTACTTTTTATACTATTCTCATTACTTTTTATATTTGGAATCTATGATAAAATTTATTTGTATATTCTTTGTTCTTTTGCATATTCTTCTTTTTGTATATTCAATGTTTAATCAGATCAATATATTCATAGTCTGTTATTATATTTAAGATCATCTTAAAAATAATTTTTCATAAACCAATGTACACACAGAATTATATTAGTGTAAGAATAGACTTTATAAATATCGGTTTTTAAAAATTTGTGAATATATAATTGAGAATAGAAAAAAATGTAAATTTAGCTATGATGAATTTAATGGAAGCCATAATTTTAATCTTGCAAATTTAAGATCAAAAGTTTTAATATTTTTAATTAATTATATTTTTAATATTGATAGTTCAATAAAAAATATTAGAAAAATAAATTTTTTATTTAATCTGATTTCGTTTCAGTATTAAAAAAAATAATGAAAATAATAACAAATCATTTCTTTTTAAGTAATTGTAACGAGTTTTTTTTCAAAATCAGTAACTAATTACTTTCAAAAAATAACTTTTAACCAATCCTAATAATAACAATAAAAAAGTATGTTATACAATAATTTGCAACTATAGATTGAAAAAAGAAGAATATAAGCAGTTACTTGGTAATATACATGAAATCTTGGAAACTCATCAATGTTTGTTGGCAAATTTGGAAGGAACCGTGCAAGGACTTTCTGCAAGAGTAGGAAATCTTTTCCTAACTATTGCACCAAGATTAAAATCGATTCACACTACATATTGTAACAATCATCCGCAAGCTGTTTGCATATTAGATAGATATAGGTAAGAATTGCAAAATATCTTCTTTACTGATGCTGCAGATTAAATCTTTTGACATAACTATGTTTTAATATTGAGCTATTTCTAAAAAAATAATCGCTTGCAAATATATTTATCTATTATTATTTTAGAGATGAATTAAACGAATTTATGGAACGCAGTGGAGCGATATCGCCTGGTATATTAGTATTAACCACCGGTCTTAGCAAGCCATTTCGCAGATTGGATAAATATTCTGCTATGCTTCAAGAATTAGAAAGACATACTGAAAAGAATCATCCTGATAGAGGAGATACTCAACGCAGTATAACTGTATACAGAGAAATCGCGGTATGATAATTTATATTTTATGTACATACTTAAAAAATATTATCAATGTTTATTATATGATATTATTTCTATTGTGTTACTTTTACTCGTAGGAACATTGCGCTTCCATACGCAAGCAACGTGAATTAGCACTCCAAGTATTAACTAGCGGAATCAAAGGTTGGGAAGGTGAAGAATTAAATTCACTAGGCGAGATTATTCACGTCGGATCTGTAACTCTAGCAACCGGCGTAGATCGTAGAGACAGATATTTTGTTTTGTTTCCTACTACACTGCTGGTACTTAGTACCAGTAATAGGATGAGCTCCTTTATTTATGAGGTAAAATTGGAAACATTTCTATTATTTTAAAAACATAAGCCAAATATACAGAGATTTTGATCCGTATTGTGATTATTTACATAGGGAAAACTTCCGTTAACTGGCATTAATGTAACTGGAATTGAAGATACGGATGAAATAAGAAATGCTCTGGAGATCACTGGTATGTCTATTAATGTTTTACGCAAATGTACCATGACTTTCTCAATAAAGATAAGAAATGCTATCTTATAACTTAGAACAGCAAGAAAATATATCAATAGATATATTCTTTGTCTCACAAAATGATATTAATTGTTTTTTAAAACAATGACAGAATTAAATGGAATATAATATCTATGCTTTAAGGACCAATGATTGAAAGTATCGTTGTATTGTGTGCTACAAAGGAAGAGAGACAGCATTGGATCGATCTCTTAATTCAAGAACAATGCACTAGTCTCCTGAAATCGCCAACCATGCCTCGTGTGAGTTGCCATCATCCTCCATACGCTCGACTCTCGAGATACTTTGCGAAACTCGTGAGGAGAAAAATTATATATCCTGAACTAATGAAGAAGTTATTATATATCCAATTTGTTCTGAAGCCAGATTTAAGTAACGTGAAAATGAGAAAGTGCAATGTGACCTATACTATTTTTCCTACTAGTGAAGAATCAGAGTCAGATGCATCTACTCAAAGTAATATGCAGGAGGAGCCGCGAGTATTGCGCAAATCATCGTTAATACTGGATGTTAGATATGTAACAGATAATACTGATCTTAGTACTGTGGGAATAGCGAGCACTTCCTCACTCACGAATTTCGCACCGAGAGTTGATTGCGATAATCGATGTACCTTTGAAACTAGTAAGAGTTTACCTGCTGGTGCTACAATGAGTCACGTCCTGCCAAATGTTCCACTCGCGTTAAGCAAGTCGTATACTTCGAATCTTCAAGCACGTAACGAATTTTATCGGGAGCATTTGGAAATTCCATGTGACAGAGATCACGATGATCTAACTATGAGTTATAAATATTTGAAAGCACTCGAACCTTATCCAGAAAATTTGAATGCCCCAGTTCCATATTCCACGACTCAAATAGATAACTGCGATAGTATTGGGGGAGAATTTCGAGAAACATGTGTCAATATTAGTTTACGATCTTCCGATTCGGGAATGGCCGAGAGTTATCATTTACGTTCATCTGAAATTAATTCCTGTTATAAATCATATGCGTCTAGTCATACTAAATATATAGATCCTGTGAGAACATCTCACAGCGAAAGCGATAACGATGAGAATAAATTTGAGCATCAATGTATTTGCACCTCGCCATTTGGATCTACGCCTCGAGATAGTGCTCATTCATTGGCTTCATCTAAAAATATTGATGACTGTACAAATCTTACAAAATCTAATGCTGTTGATAGTGATATTAATGACGATCCCAATAATAGTAGAAAGAAATTTCAAGAAACTGTATTAATTCATCCTTTAATAAATTATGGAAACGTACAAGGAAAAAGATATACGCAACCGATACCATATGCACATCAGTGTGTAATTAAGAAAGTCGGGAGACGCGTAGTTCGTCCAATCCAGCCGATTATGGAGGAGCATGATGAGCCAACAAATCAAGTTTATTCGTCCGGATTATATGCTCATTGGTGGCTCAAGAAATCTATCCCGATATTTGGCTGCACAGAACAAGGCAAGCTTCCATAGCATGGCTGTTTCTTTGATCATTTCAGTTTCTTAACCATTCTGGTGTTATTACTAATTATCATTTTTCTACCGAAAATCGTATGCTCTTATTTCACAGCCATGTTGTGTGAAGTAAGCTGTTGCTTTACTAACACAATACGTCATAAAATAGTCTCGGAAAATATCAAATTTTCACACGTACGCCTTTATTTCACCACATCACCTTCATTTACCTCACAAAAAATTTCTAATTAGCTTGATTTTGAGTTTTAGTCTTCAGGTAGGGCGTGCATTCTAGAATGATATTATTATAAGATTTTTCTTTTTCTACTTTGTATCTTCACATTAGAATATTTTTTTATTAAAAGGATTCTGCAAAATAGAAAAAAATATAAATAGAAAATAGAAACATATAAAAATTTTACAAGATACATCACGTCTTAATATTACTTGTGCACGCACATGATAATAACGATCTTAATTTTTCTTGAGATATAATTAATATTGTATATTGTAGCAGATGAACAATCAGCCGAACGGGAAGCTTCAACGACCGGCAATGGAACATTGTACATCTCCAGGGATTAAGACACCTTGGAGTATTGCATCATTGAGACCTGCTCCTCCTATATATTCTCTTAAGAACTTTGGAAAAATAGATATTACTACAGATACATCACGTCCATCACGATCATGTAAGATTTCAATGCTTGTTAAGCAATTAATTGACATATATGATCAAGTTTTCAATTTATTTTCCATTATGTATTCTATATCTATTACAGATGAGCGACAATTTGAAGAAGATGCAATCATATTGAAAGTAATAGAAGGTTATTGTCTTTCTGTCAATGCTAGATTTACTGTACATTCTGGGGAATCTAATTGTAAGTTCATACAAGCTATAATTAGTCTATTAAAGTATTGCTTTATGTAATTTGCTTTCTAAAGTATCTTTTAGTCACGAAGAAATGCTTATTTTCCAGCAATACTAGATTATGAGTCACAAAAATCAAGAGATAGGATATCATTGACACATAATAGAGGCAATTGGGAATCTTATAATGACAGGTAAGTATAAAAATATATTTTGAAAAAATTTCACATAAATTTTAGATTTGATAATTTGTAATTGATAATTTGTATAAAGATAAAATATTGCTTGCATCAATTTGTATTACTTTGTTATTATTATATATTATATAAATCAAGAAAGAGTTAATATTTCAGTATCAGAAATTGATATCAATTGATAATAACAACATCATAATAATATCTATACTTAATTATTATATATCTCATTACTATAAACATTAATATTTATTATTTATTCTTTGCAGGACATTATCGGAAACGGTTAAAACCTTGAAGAATCAAATGACTGACTTACAATCGCAAATGTCGCTCTTAACAAAACAATTAGACGAAGAGAGAAGATCTCGACTTTCATTAGCTGCTACAGTAAAACGCAGCATGGGAGTTATAGATGGATAATAATGACGTTAATGTCGAAGAATGTGTAACCATATCACCAGAAAGAAAAGTGTTCAAAATAAATTGTTCATAACGTTCATCTCATATGTACAAGTTTTAATTATAAAAGTTTTAATCATAATATGTGTCGCGTGTTGTTGGAATGTTTTCATAAAGTTTACTATTTTTATGATACATATGTGATAAATATAAAATGGAGACATACATATAAAAAAATTATTTATGTATTTTTTTAGTATATTGTACACTCGACAATAAAAAAAAATACTCAGAATATTATTTTGCATTATATAAAGTTTCATTTTGGTCATAAAATATTGCCATTAATGCAATTCACAGTAAAGTTATATTACATGTTCTATAAAGAAGTTCTATACTTGTCGCAATGATTATTACAAGAATGTAAATGTAAGGTTGATAAGAAAAATTTTAGTTAAGAAAAGTTTATAAATTTATTATAATTATATTGAAGAGATGTCACACAGTAAACATTGCTATATATACATATTTTGAATTGAGAAAAATTATGTACTTATCGTAATTTATTCTTTATACGTTCCAATTCGTTAACTCTACTTCGCGCGTGCTCCAATCTGTGCCATGCCATTTGTAGAACTTTTTGACTTGCATATCCTGAACCTTCGTGTGGTTGACCTATAAGGTATTTTAGTAGAAAATATACACTGACGATGGAAACAGTACGCAAATGATCGATATCATTAGATACATACCAGTAGAAACCTGGGTGAGATAATTAATTTGATCGCTTAATTTACTTTCCAATTGTCCTAGAGTTTTCAAAAATTGGTGTGTCTGTGATTCTGCCTGTTTTAAGCTTGATTTTTCCTTGCTCAGTTCCATGCACGCTTGCCCTGTATAACATAAAGCATCTTGATTGCGTGTACATCAAATTTCTTTTTACTTTCGTATATCTGCATTCTTGTTTTGCGTACTTGATAAACAGTTAGAATTTGTACTTTGTCACATGTGATTACTAGATAGATCAAATCTTGGTGAATAAAAATATTTAACGACAATTACCTGCGCTTTGTAAACATACTATAATGTCTTTTTCGATAGTTTCTAAAATCTGAATTCTTTCCATCGGCGGCGTCATCGTGGCTTATGTTTGCACTTGTAGCTGTGTTTGATCAGACAATTCGTGCAACGTTCTGCTAAAATCCTTCAAAAGACTTTATTCATATCTAATTTGCTCGTAATCACAAAATATTAAAAAATGTTAAATATCGAAACTACTGAGCAATAATAAACATAAATCAACATCAATATTTAGGTCTCAAATTAGGTTAGAATAATTCAAAGAATCTGAGCAGAGCCCTCTCTGAGCCAACATTAATGGAGAATTCATATTTTTTACGCATGCGCAAAAGGTATGGTGGAGTTTCAAGGAAAGTATATTCAATTTCTAGTATAATCTCAAAATACTATGTCATTTTATAAATTGGAAAGAAGAATTTTAAGATCATGTAAAATTGAACTTAAGATGATTTTAAAATGTTGAATTTGGTTTTATTATACGAAATGATTGTATTTTATCTTAAAATTATATACATCTTCAAAATAGACAAGATTCGCAAATCTTTGAAAGGATTTAATAAAAGAGAAAGAGCTGTGTGTGCCATTTAAATATTTTAAATATCGCGTAATCTAATAATTTTAGGAGAGGATTATTTTTGAAAATATTTAAAAAATTATAGTATTTTAAAAAATTATACGTTATGACAACTTATGATTATTTTTATTGTAGAAATGAACAATTCTTAATCTTTTTTAACACATTATTCGAAGACGCAAAGCTTTATTATAAAATCGTCATGAAATTCAAGTGGAAAGACAGAAACATATTTTATTTTTACACAAACACGTAGATTATATTCTTCAAGATGATTTCATTATTTAATACGCGTTTCAATTCAGAAGAGACACGTCATCCGATAAGAATATTATCGTCATTTATGAATTCGTATTCTGGTATCTCTAAATTGGTCGCCGCCGGACCTTTCCGTATGCGACCGGCTGCGTCGAAATGCGAGCCGTGACACGGACAGAAGAAACCACCCGGTATGATGCCGGCATTCGGAATCGGCACACATCCCAAATGTGTGCAAATACCCATCACGATTAGCCATTGCGATCTTTTCGCCCTGGCATCATCTGTTTCTGGATCGCGCAGCTCTGACAGAGCCACCGCTCTCTCCTGCTCGATGATCGATTGAGATCTGCAATATTATCGTTCGTCAGCGATCGAACGGTTTATTATCGATGTAAAAAAAAAAAACTCTGCGGACTTTCATGTCAGAAATTTACTTTTCTAAAATCTTCAAGTTAAAACTGCATTTCATCCAAAAATATTATTATTTTATAGTTATAAAAGCGTAAAAAAAGAAAATTGTTATTTAAAGAAAATTTTATATCCGTGTATTATTTTTATTTTGCAAGTAGTGGTTAAGCGACTATTATTTTTATTTTATGATGATGGTTGCATGAGCATCGATGTTGTGTTTATCTCATCCTGCTTTCTCCTAATTATTAATTTGCTATATTGCTTTTCTTACCGATGATAGATAAAGACAGGTTTGCCGCGCCATTTGACGACTAACACTTTTCCTTCCGGTATATTATTTAAATTCACTTCCAATTGAGCCTCCGCCAAGATGTCTCGCGAGGGTGACATAAAGAGTACATAATGTAATAAGTGAGCCTTAAAGGCATATAATCCAGCAACACAACCAACTGAAAATGTTTCAATTGTACATATATCTGATTTTGCTAAAAAAAAATCTACAGAAATGTTTTATCGTCATCGCGTAAGACATGCTTTAATAATAAAAATACCGGAAAAATAATGATGATTGATGTAAAAAAAATTTCTCTGAATTGTTACCAAAAGAGACCATGGATTTCAAAGCTCTTCGTTCATCAACATTTTTCCTGTAGGATATATTGGGATCTTCGGTAAATTTTTGTCGATATTCATCAAAATTGGGTTTTGGTATATCAGTATGAGCATATCTGCGCAATCTCTTATGACTTGAACCTGAATAACGCGGAAACATAATTATGTATATACAATTATTGTCCATGAGTGTCAAATAAAATTAGCATGTCGTTCATTCTCAATTACATTCGTTATTAATCAATCTCTATCACCATTTGTTGTTGTTCAATAATTAATTTATCATATGATTAGTAAACTGAATAATAAATATGAATTACAAATATGATAAATAGTCGTAGACAATAAGATCGTTCAATCAAGGAATACGATATTGTTTGACAAATATATATATATATATATATATATATATATATATATATATATATATATATGTATGCAAAATATGAATTGATGTTGCACAGTGTCATTGTGAATCGTTTACAAATTTCTTTTTCAATATGATTACTTATGTAATTAAATACATAAATTTCAAAGTTTTGTCCAAGATAAATTATAAAAAAATTTATTTTCATATAAATACTTACAATTTATTGGGTATAATTGTAGCAAGGATGAAAGGCAAAATTTATTGCCATTCATAAAAACATTAAAAACGTGTCTTCTTAAAAGAAACATTTTATTATTAACAATGAAATATATCTGAGTATGTTATTATGCCGTTATAAATTATTTGGCACATTGACACATGTGTCTTTAGTGTCCGAAGTTTCACAAAAGTCTCACATTTTCGCACGTCAATTGTCAATTTCACAGACAAATCACATTTGATATAAGCATAATAGATCAATAAACAAATAACAATTTATTTTAAACTATAAAATTACTATAATTCTATAATATGTTTGTATATAATTTCATCAAAAATAAAATATTAAATATTTATATACATAATATGTATTTATGTAATATATAATAACATTTATAATATATTCGATATTATATATACAAGTAACATTAAAAAATTATGTATATTTCACATCTACATACGTAAATGCCCCAAGTTGATAAGAAAAATTAATGGTTATAATGTTATTTTAGGTAAGTTTTCAATTATTTAAGAAACTGAAATCTAAGCGTGAAACAAAATTTAACAAAGATAAACAACTAAATTATATCGAAATCGCCAATAAATAATCGCCAATAATTTGTAGATAAGAAGTAAAAGCAATTTATAAAAAGCATATCACATCAAAAATCTCTATATAAAAATAATGATAGATACAAATATAAGCGTGTTACATATATACATATATAACTTAGAATTTTGACAATATGAAAGTAACTAATAATATTACGAAATAATTAATGCTACAGAAGGATGTCCTATTTGAATTGTTCTTATTAAAGTTTCTCACATATATTCCAAATGTCACTAAGTTGTTCGTATTATTGTTTAAGAATATGTTAATATGTACGTCATTGTCCTGAATACGCTCGTCGAATGTCCAATCTTTAAGCGGAAATATATCTGCATTTAGTGTAGACGGCATGATTAAATGATTTTCGTAATCGTGAATAGTTGTTGTAATTCCAATATTATTAAACACCGTTTCCGACTTTTCTACAGAACCGCATGACGAGATTGAATCATTCAAACATTGAATTACGCCACATGCACGTATGTTAGCATCAACGACAACATAACGACGAGTACCACTGAAAACTGCTAAACGATATTTTGTATTTGGATCTATTTCCGCAATTTCTACTTTGAACTCGCAGCAGAAGTCATTTTGACAAACGGTTTCCTTGGCATTTCTTTCTAAAGGAAACGTTTGAAAAACTTGAATATTATCGTATAAGAAAACTATTTCACTATTAGCTACTATAATATTGTCTTGTCGTTTTTTCGGTAATTCATCATGCATATGTTCCTTCCCAAAGAAGTACCAATCTTTCTGATTTTGATCATTTGAATGGTCGTGATATTTTTTATGATGTTTAGTTTCTCCTTTTATTTTAGGTACTTCAGATATCAATACTTCATTATGTGTAATTTTAGAAAATACTGCCTTGGCAATTCCTTCACGACCTGTACGAAATTAAATTATTTTACACACATATTTACAATACAGAAGACTTTAATTGCCCCTGATATTTAAAATGTAATTTTAGTCACCTAAGTAGATTCCACTGCCTGTATTGCCACCAGCAGGTCTGTTATAACCCGAAGCTAAAAGATTTACATCTTCAGCAAACGACCATCCTGCTTGAGTTTGTACAGCTAGAATAATTAATATTAATATCATTCTAAAATATATTTTGATGAAATTTTGAAAAAATGGAATAACATTTTACACATTTCTTAATATTTTATTTACCTGTTAAGAATGGTACTTCAGAAAACCATGCTGTAGGATATACAAAATCAGTAACGTTATGAACCCTTGTCAATTGTAACGCAGGTTCATGGAATAATATATCAAAGCATATAAAAGTTCCAAATGTCACTCCAAAATCAGTATCAAAGCTCACTATCTCTGGTATTGCTGTCACATTAAATTGTGGTTCCGTAAAAAGATTTGTTTTACGATACCTATTCATTGTGATTAGACATATATGTATAATATTGTTAGATACATTCTGCAACAACAATAAAATTTTAGATACCTAGCAATAATCTTTCCCGTGCGATCAAATGCAACATTACTGTTATAATAGAACATTTTATCTTTCGGGCAAGATACATCAGTGCAAGGAACTTTCTCAGCAATATTGATTACCACATAGATTTCATTATCTCTTGCAGCGCATGATATATTTTTCAATGTCTGTGGATTAGAAATTTCTTTTCAGATAATTTAAAATATATTAATTTAAAATATATATAGCTTTAAAATATTTAGCTTAAAAAGTATTAAAAATATAACTTTTTTAGAGAGAAATTTGTAATTTGTTTTTAAATTAATTAAAATTATATTTTAATATCTATTTTTCTTAATTTTAAACTCTATTATTAATATTTTTGTAGTGTTGTATTTATAGTATGTATCAGGCGACACGGTAGTGTCTTGAGTGTCAAGTCAACGAGAACACTACCGTCAAATACATACTTCGCTAACTTCAATAGTGTCTTGAATACAAGGTATATAATTAAGTGAGGCGCTAGGAATAATAGTTGTCCAATCCTCCATTTGTTGTCTTTCTGGCAAATGTATTGTTGTCAAGCCATCTTCAGGGAAAACAATTATATCAGTATTCTGAAATATATTCAGATAATATGCTTTAGGTAATATAGAACATATTGACAAGGATATACAAATTCATAAAATAATCTTTAATAACATTAATCTAAGTATGATACATAACTATTCTTTTTTAAAAATACTTACATTTAAACTAGCTGTTTTAATATATTTAACGTACGCTTTTGTATTTGCTTTCAAAGTCTCGGCGCTGTTTGTTAAATATATTGGGGAATATTCTACCACAGCTGCTATGTATGTTGGTGAATCTATTGTTGATTTCTGTTAATAAAAAAACTGTTAATATAAAAATATATATGTACAAATTATGGAATCTAGAGGACATAGATTACTTCAAAGAAAATTTAATATATTAAAAATGTGTCATATTAAAATAAATGTATTTTATGATTACCTGATATGATAGATGTGCACATGCTGCCAGGAGATGAAGAATGAACCACGATTTATCCATTTGAAGAATGAATCACGAATTTTCCTTTCTGTTTAAAAAAGTTAATAAACAAGTTATAGTAAAGCGATAAGAAAAAATATGACTTATATATCATATTGAACAATCATTAAGAATTGAGATAACAAGAGAAGCGCAACAGAACAGAAGCGCAAATATCATTTTTTTTTTAATTTAAAAACATAAAGGAAATTTTATACAAGCAATCCCTAATTACATCTGCTTATATATTTTAGAAAAGAAAATATTTAACAATAAAATCTTAAAAGTATTTATTAGCAAAAACAATTATTTATAATAATTTATTTTGTTTATAATAAAGAGTATTTTACAATTTTATTGGGCAGATTGAGCAGATTCTAATACATAAGAAATTTATGTAGAAAAATTCTCTTTAGTTTAATTTTTTCCTACTTGAAAAAATTACTTAATATGTAAATAATTGATCTTGGAATTTGAATTAAAAATTTCTTATATACTTTATTATAAAAAATGATTTATAACTTTAATTTATCTTGATATTTAGGTATAGAACAGCTGTATATACATTTAATATTAGAATTAATAATTACTATAAACAGATTAATAACATTATATGTTACATTACATACATAAAACACATTAATAAGCTGCTAAAATAAAGTGATAGAATATAATGATAAACCAAAGGAAAAACTTATAAAATATAAATTTATGTTATAGATATGTAATTTTAATCTCTAGATAGATAGACATATCGAGAATAGATTTTGCAAAGTATCTGATATCTTATATTTTGTTTGTAGACATATTATAGATTTGAAATAGGATTTAACGTAATCAATATTGTGACATATAAAATTTGTGCCTCTTAACCTGCAACAAGGAAGACATTTATGTAAGGCTATTGGACAGATATTGTCCTTATTACAATTTATTAACTATTAGCTCTTGAGTAGGAGTTCTTCTTTATTTACAGAGTCTGATTTCTACTCTCATGCATTAACTCATTATATATCACAAATATTGTCAGTAGTATTGACAAAATATTAAATGTTGTTATTAAAATAATACTGTGAAGACAGGAATTGGGCAGATTTTGATACATTTGTTACATAAGTTTAATGCAAAGTGGCAGGAAATCAAGCTAATGTGAAAATAATATTGAATTTATTCTGACCAACCTGCTGCCAATCTATAGATATATTGCTAATATTTTGCTTGCTACTTATTTAAGTGTCGGCCCACAATAGATGATTTAAGCTTTAAGAAGTAAGAAATTGACCAATTATAATCGAATAATGAAAAGAATAATGAAAAGAATAATCGATTATGATTGATTAGATTCTTACGGCTTAAAGATTAAATATTTATTGTGGACCGACACTAAGAGGTTAAAATATTTGTATATTTTATGAATACTCACGTTATGTTCAATGCATTTCGATTATTACCTGCGTTCGATTAATATCTGCCTCAAAGCTGTACACAATATATTCACGAAATTATAAATACCTTCACACTACAAATTTTGGAACATATGTTATCAATTTCTCTTATCGAAGTATTACTAATTCCGTTCAGGACAAAGTTCGAAGTTCACGTCTGCATTACAAACAAAAACGTGTTTCCGCGTATGATTTGGACTGAGTTCGGTGAGCGCGCTATTAGAACTATCGCATCGATCTATCCTTAATTTACATATATAATGAGTAATAAAAGTGAAATAATGTGATAGTGCTAATAGCGTGCAGCTTTGGTATAGTTATAAACAGTCAATTCAGAGTGCTGCTACAAATGTTTTAAAACATGTGATTAACCAATTAGAAGAAAAAATTTTTTGAATTGACCAATCAAAAAATGTTTTGAAGCATATGTGGCAGCAAGTGAATCATACCCTCGATGATCCCGGGCAAGGATTTGCGCATGCGTGGTAAATTCGGGATGAACTCGATGAACTAGGAATAAAGAAAAGATATTATACAATTTCATAAAATTTTTTTTAAAAGTCGGCAGGACCTGTGTGAAGATAGCTCCCCCAACATTGAAAAACATAAAGTTTCTATAGCTCATTCGATGCTCATTGTTTGCAAATGTATACACATTTCAAATTTTCGTTTGCATACTTCTAGTAAAAAAATTATTAACAAAACAAATTTCGGGGGGCCATCTTCACACTAGCCCCCCAACTATGAGTAAATTAAATAAAAAATAGCTCCATTGATAGATATTCGTTTGCATATTGCCAAACAGGTCGATTTTTCGTTTGCACACCTCTACTTAAAAAGTTATTAACAATTAAAGTTTCAGAAGCGAGCGACTTCGGCAGATGAAATAGAAACAAGAATATTGTGTGCAAACGAAAAATCGACCTGTTTGGCAATGTGCAAACGAATATCTATCGATTGGTTCTATTTTGAATCGCGTATCTTCGGAATTCATTCTGAAAACGAATTTTTTTATGTAGAACTGCCGCTCCCCAAGACTTTGTTTGTTAATAACTTCTTAACTAGAAGTGTGCAAACGAAAATTCGAAATGTGCATACACGTGCAAACGATAAGCAATCGAATGAGCTATAGAAACTTTATGTTTTTCAATGTTGGGGAGCTACCTTCACACAGGTTATTCTTCCCACGTAGTTTTTCCCCATATACTTCCCACATAATTTTTCCCATATAATTCCCACATAGTTTTTCCCATTTAGTCCCCACATAATTTTTCCCATCTAGTTCCTACACAGTTTTTCCCATCTTCTTCCCACATAGTTTTTCCCATCTAGTTCTCACATAGTTTTTCCCATCTTCTTCCCATAGTTTTTCCCATCTAGTTCCCACATAGTTTTTCCCATCTAGCTCCCGCATAAATAAAATATATGCAATAATTTATAAACATTTTCATAAGAATGATGATTCTTATTAAACATAGGTTTACGGCTCTATATATGTAATTAAATTATCACATATGCAATCGAGATTTTAAAATAACTATTTATACAATATAGTAACATTTATTCTAGATCTATCATATCTTAAGGAGGGATCCTATAATTACTTATTTGATCATTTCAGTAGTAGATTTCATCCTAACATCGAGGTTGAGTAGCATCGAGCAGGACCAAGTGGATGGGTGATCGGTAGAAACATGTGATGATACGAAATAAAAAATGGTTCATCACTTTCTCTCATTTTTTTTCATTTTTTTTCACTTATTTTTTGTAAGAGTATTTTATGTCACATATATTAGATTTTCAGTACTAGCAGTCAATATCGGAACGCAACCGTAATTTTGTCGTCATAAGTATCACGTCATCGGTCTATGACTTATAGACATCATTATGATTTCCTTTTTGACGTTTTTTATGAGTTTACGTGAGTTTGGTAATATTTATGACTTAAAATTAACGTTATATTGACGACATCTTGCTACTTGGGTATATTATTGATCGATTAGTAAACTAAATGTAGAAATTACAAATACGATAAATAATTATAGATGATTAACGTCGTCCAAGGAATATGATATTGCCTAATAAATATATAGAATAAAATATAAATACCGCAGAATATCATAATGCATCTTTTATATAAATTTCTTTTTAAATATTATTATTTGTGTAATTAAATATAGATTTTAAAATTTTTCCAAGATAAAGTACGCACAAAATCTATTTTTCAAATAATTATAGTTACTAAATATAATTGTGACAAAGATGAAAGGCAGGATTTATCATCTTTCTCGAGAAATATAAAAAAATGTGTCTTCATAAAAGAAATATTTTATTATTAAAAATAAAATATATTTGAGTACATTAAAATGTCACTATAATTATTTATCATGTTGGCATACATCTGAAGTTTCGCAAAAATTTTTTCAATTGTCAATTTCACAGACAGATCACATTTGGTATAATAATAATAGTTTAATAAAATAAACATTAAAATAGTGACACTTTGCTTAAGTATTATAGAATTCTATAATATGTTTGTATATAATTTTATCAAAAATAAAATATTAATCGTAAATGTTATTATATATAATATTATCTATAGAATTCTATATTATTATATATAGAATTCTATAATACTAAAAACGTTAAAATGTCATTTATATTTCATATTCGTATGCCATAAGTTGTGTAAACCGATAAAAAAATTGATGATTATAATTTTACTGTAAGTAATTTTCAATTAAAGAGAGAAAGTGAAATCTAAATGAAGAAAAAAAATTTAACAAAAAATTTAAAACTATTATCCAGAATCGTTAACAAAATTATAGATCTCTAAAAAATTATGCCATATAAAAAATCTAGTTTACAAAAT